TCTTCAATTTTGTTCTATATTTGACCTTTTTTTTTTTAACTTTTTCTTATTCGATCGTTACTGATGAGTCTTTTGTAGACGAGACGCGCGTTTAATTTGGTACGCTAAACGAGCGTTCCATCTAAGTAACACTCATCATTGGTGCTTGAATCAAAACATTTTAAAGATCAAATACATACGAAGCTGAAGACCATTGAAATTTAAAAATTCCGAAACATCCCATACAGAAAAATAAATGAACAAATTGCTTTCAAATCGTATTCAAATCTCTTTCAAATCGTAATTCTGCAATTTGTTAGTACCATTTGCTTGCGATTCATTAAAGAAATTATAAACAAATCAGAATTCGCCAAATTCCCAAAACTGATTTCTTTGTGATTTCTTTGAAATGTATGATTTGTTAGCAATTTGTTTCTGTTTTTGTGTGATTTCTTTATGATTTGTTTACTTAGAATATCGTATGAAATGATTTCAAAAAGATTTGTTAACTTTATTCGCTAACATTGTGTGATTTCGTTATGATTTGTTTACTTGGAATATCATAGGAAATGATTTGAAAATGATTTGTTAACTTTGTTAGCTATCATGGTGTGATTCATTGATGATTTGCTACAATGAAAACAATGTTATTGCATTCAGATTTTCTGGGTTTGTCTTTATCTCTGACTTCCGGTTGAGGTCAAATTCAAATTTCAAATACTGTTCTACATTAACTGAACAAAGAAGGTTGCAAGATGAAGAGTAAGATATACTATCAATGATGACAGTGGTAAGTATCTTAGTCATTAACCTTCTTGTTTCAGGAATTCAATTGTAAGTCAACTATGCAAACATGTCAAAGGTGTTAAACTTTTATATTCGGAAACTGTGCATTTCAATATCTCGTTATGTGTACTGTCTGGATAAATTTTCAAAAAAAAAATGTGTAAAAGACATGTAAACAGAACGAGACGAGCAATTAAAGAGTAGCTTCCCGAATCAGCAGACAATATGCACTGGTAAGTTTTATGTTTAAATTTTGCATGATGTTGACTGGTCAGGTATAGAGCTGTAGCAGATTTGGACCCAGACTAAGACCCATCGCCTACTAGTATTCGACATCCTTCTAGTAAACGTGGTTGCCCATGTTGTCAAATCTCGTTAGATTCAAATTCTGGAGAAGTGAGAGAAACTTTTCACAGAGGGAACAATTGCTCCCTCATGACAACCCGAAATAATAATCCCTTAACAATCAGAGGAGTAGCTAAGGTAAAATAAAGACAAGTGCACTTCAAAGTTTGGGGGTCTCAGGGGCAGAACAGATTTTTGATCCAGATGTAAATGATTTAATCTGTGAATCGATGATGATCTCAATTAATTGACGATTTGCTTGTGATTTGCTTAATGTAGGATTATGATTTACTTCTGATTTGTTAAAGATTTGATAACGATTTGTTTATAATTTCTTCATAATTTGAAAACAATTTGTTTGCGATTTGCTTGAGATAGGAATATGATTTCATTCTGATTTGTTAAAGATTTGTTAACAATTTCTTTATAATTTCTTTACAATTTGAAACAAATTTGTTTGTGATTTGCTTAAAGAAGGAAAGCAATATCCTATGATTTGTTAATGATTTCAATACAATTTCTTGACAATTTGTTTATGATTTGCTTATGAATTGGAAGCAATTTGTTTGTGATTTGTTGTTGTGATTTGTTAGCTCATTTGCATGTGAAATTTTATCACTTTCAAATCATAAAGAAATCATATGATTTGGTTATCATTTGTTACCATGATTTTTTCCTCACTTTTTTTTGTTTGGGATTGTACCAAATACGCCCATGGCTTTCTTTGCAGGGGTAGAAAAATCTTAGTGTTTTGAATATATGTTATAGATATTTCATATCTTTTGGATAGTTTTGCGGTGTTTCTTAAATTATACCATAGCTTTTGTTGAAACCCTCGGCAATAACATCACGAGACGAAGTCGAGTGAGGTTGCCGAGGGTTTCAACAAAATACTATGGTATAATTTATGATACACCGGAAAATTATCCAAAAAGTATGACATATCTGTTTTAACCTATCGCATCTTTTGGTGTTTCAAATTGTATATTTCATATCTTTTTGTTTGTTTACTTTTAAAATAATTTTGATAAGAATCAGTTAAATAACCCTTTTCGGGCCTTACACACAAAGCTCCGCCTACTTTCAAAAATAAGCACGAGCTTCTGAAACAGCGAGAATATCAGTTAGATTTGATTTTTCGGAAACGATGGATGCACAATCACATTGGTGACTGTTAACGTTACAGACGAAACAAATGTTGAAGGAAATAGATTTTCTGGATGTGGATAAGTCACAGATTTTCTGATATTTGGAAACTTTCTAGAATCCCAGATTAGGGGTTAGTTTTTTTTTTTTTTTTTATTTTATCAAAATTTTCGAAATGTTTTATTTTTTTTTTAAATTGATTCATAACTCTGAGGAAATTAATTTCACAAGAATCTTTCTGACAATTTGGATGAATCATTCTACGTTTTGATTTGTACCTGAAGCTTTTAAAGTCGTACATTAATTAAAAGGGATTTCAAAATGATCACGATTAAAATCACATGTTGACTATAGGTAATTTATACAAAAAGTTAAGCTTCATTTAGAGTAACCAGACACTATCTAATTTTAACGGTCCAACATTATTGTTATTACTTAAGCAACCTCGTTAAGTCTAGGTGTCAGCCGTGTTTAACAAATCTTGTGCGGTTCCAGGACTTTGAAAAGGGGGTGGGGGGTCAAGTAAGCCAACATTTTGAATAATACTTTAAAAAAGTCTGTATTTACTATATATGAAGCTCACCAAAAGGGTCGTGCCCCCTGCTCCCTCCCCCTGAAAAAAAACAACCCGCTTCGGCAAATTTTAACCTATACATGTAGCTGTACAGTGCAGCCTATGAGGATACAATCTAAGTATAAATTTTAATAACTGAAAATCAACTGATTTTTTCCAGTAATATATGTAGGACTCAAATCTATGGTGGGTTCCAGATCTATGGCAGATTCCTAATCTATGGCAAATATGACGTCATTCCATCCCGAATCTATTGCAGATTTGTTATAATCCTAATCTATGGCAAGTTTTGTAATTTCCTAATCTATGGCGGATTTTTGTTGTTTCCAAATCTATGGCAAATTTTGTGCATATGGAAAACAAAGCAGTACATATACGACTGATGCCTTTTCTTAAACAAGTGAAAATGTATGAAAACGGAAGCATGTTTATAAACATTTTTGAAACAAACATTCCATACCATAATACCGTGACTTCAGGATTAAAATGATGCGCCCCGGAAAAATAAGCATTTCTTATCTGTGCATGGTACCTGTTTAGTCTATTTATTCAACCAACTAATGAAAATGGTAGTCCCATGACAAACAAGAAAGCAGTGTTTTATGAACAGAATTTTAAAAAACAGTTTAATTTTTTAAAATATTTATTTGAGCGTTAATCAAATTTTTTTTAACTAATGACGGTTTCAGTCAAAGTGGTATCCTGTAATTTCATCTCTCACTTTATATACTTTGCCAGGCGTAGATGCTAAAATATTAATTATAACTCCTTTCCTAAAATATCCACTACTAAAAACAGCCGTGCCTTTATTCATCGCGGGGTTCGGACAGTACAGCACATCTTCCTTTAAACCATCGGCAAATTGTTTTTAGAGGGAGAGTGTTTCCCTGTGTTTTTGTTTGTAAAATTTGAAATCAGTGAGCCCCGTGTTAAATATTTGTTTTTGGTTTACATCATACAATTAAAAGAAAAAAAATATAAATGGTGTTCAAATCTATGCCGGTTCTGCCAACGTTAACGCCGGCGACGACGACGTAATTATGGCGTTATTTAATTGTGACGCTATATGTTACTCTTTTCCCCGGAAAATTACGCAATTTCAAGATCTGCGATTGATTTGGAGAAAACAAAAAACTGCCATAGATTTGATTTGTAACGTCATATTTGCCATAGATTAGGAATCTGCCATACATTTGGAACCCGCCATAGATTTGAGTCCTACATATATATATATATATTTACATAGAAATATAATCTTAACACATTTATATATTTTTTAAACTTTATTTGTTTGTTTGTTCTGAGAGCGAATTTTTGTTTATTTCAAAATATAGGACAACGGAGTTGGTGTACGTGGGTTCGATTCCCACCCTAGGCATTCATTTATATCGGCTGGTGCAAAGCGGGCAGTTTAGCTTAGTGGCCCCGCACTGACTCTGTTGTTCCTGTGTCAAAAAAATTCAAGAGGCCATGGCCAGGTCTTCCTATCTTTCTTTTTCTTTTTGAAGACCATATACAACAAAACCATGGTATAATTGTGAAAATTATACCGTAGATAGCTATGGTATAATTTTCGGTGATTGAGATTTATACTCGGGTTACATTCCCATATGTTCCATTGTACAGCTATAGGTTGATTTACATTTACATAATAGAAATTGACACTGCATTATAAGTTTTGACGATTATTATCATGAATTGGTTTACGATATAGCAATGTATGAACTCTGGACCGACATATTGTTGCGGGCTTAGATTTCAAAACACAAGAAAAGGCTTCAAATCTGTAAATAACCAATTTTTCTTCTTTTCCTGATAGTGACATTTTGATTTTCTGTGTTTTACCTTGATTTGTAAGTTCTTAATGGATTAATGAGATATAGCATTTAAAAATTATTTTGCATCTAGTATAAGCAGTCTTAGGAAATTCTGGGAAAATCGCTTAAACGGAACACATGAACACCCCACCCTTTTCCCGTTCAGGTGAAATATACTGGCTAATTAGAATCAATACACATAAATTAATAACAGTCATATCAGGTGACTCTCGACGCGAATGAAATGTAAAACATACATTTTAACATTGCTGCAAAATAATAAAACAGATAATGAAGACTTTACAAATATAAAATGTTATAATGGACAAATAGTAAATTCTATTTAAAATTACCTGTTCTTTCGTTTATGATGAAAAGCCATTTAAAATATATACGGTTAATATCTAGGTTGTTTAGATTGGTAACCATGCGTGCATCGATCGGTTTCGCTTTGGATCACCTAGTTTACCGATGATATAGATTTTCTTTAATTCATCTTTAGTTGGAAAGGAAATGTGTATAGTTGAATGAACAAAATTAATGCATTCCTTTTAACCCCGATGAAACTGAAGGACTGTGATGAAGATGTTGTCAGACAAATATGTCAAAATGATTGGTATATGAAATTAAAAAAAAACGCTTTCATTGATTTACCTTCATCCGGAATGCTAAAATCCAAACATTTTAAAGCCAGGGATGTAAAATAGGTAGAAACGGTAGGAGTGAAATTACCAAAGTGCACAGAAAAGAATGATATTCAAATGGCAAATACAATACCAAATCTGAAAGAAACTTTGTTTTTGTAATATTAAGTGGTTACACACCGGAATGTTTCACACATGTAATATTGAGCTGTTTACTGAAAAGATCTGTTATGTCTTGTCCCTTATTTTGTTTACAAATCAGTATATACAAACATGATATATAGATGTATATTTTACACTTGATAGTTAAGAGGGGTGATGCATTAAATATAGCCAACGGTAGTTTACCGGTGTTAAATCTCGTAAATCAATAAAGACGACCAATCAAAGCAACAAACAAAACACTGCTGGAATTGCATATACTCGAACAAGCTCCAAAATGAGTAAAATCGGGTGCGTCGATTGGGTAAGTGCCTCCTTCTACGCATGCATATCCCACCATACAAAGCCACACTCAGTAAAAATCGGGAATAGGACACAGTCAGTATAATTACAGATAAGACGACTATTAACCAAGACATACATGAACTAATACTTTCAGTCAATAGGCACTCGTTCTTCATATGGATGTAGCAGAAGATAGAGTTTCAGCTATGTATTGATTAAAACCTTTGACCCTTTTGAAATTGTTTATACGAGCCAAGGATGACACGAAAAAAGACTGTTAAATATCTTACTTTTGACTTATCAATGGGAGTCTGTGGGATTGTAAAAATAAAATAAACACAAATAAAGCATACCTTATTTGCATATACACTATGGTAGAAATCTAATAAAACGCAAGTTTTCATTTTCTTATTTTACCTTTGACTTCAAGCATCGGCCTGATTTTCATTAATATATACATTTCTTCTGTCAATACTCCAACTTATTATAATTTGTTTAAAAACTACTGCATACGAATTTTACAACTACAACACCGGTCATACACAAAATTATGCCAAAAGAGAAAAAGCAGTGATAAGGTATTAATTTGATGACAGAAAAATAGCCGCAGTTAACATTTCATTCCAAATCCATAATTATGAAACATCTTCTGCAAGTGTTACTGCATCTGTTTATTTGAGATAATGACACTATTCCAGTTTAATCAAAATTAATTGCTCTTTTGAGAATAAGAGAAAAGTTACAATAATTATTTATTATTTCCAAATAAATCAGAGGTAGTCATTTCATATCTTCGAGGCGGACTGCATCTAATACATATTTAGCAGCCAAGGTTTCCACATGATACAAATATTATATGAAAAATGAAAATAGCACTTGATATTTTTATGCGTTCAAAGCGCTTTTCTGGATTTAAATGATTAATCAGTTGTAATATGTATCGGTACAAAAAATATTGATCAACTGAGACTTGAAACTTTTGAGGATTATTTTCTCTATTGTTTCAATGCTTTACATAATGCAACTTGATAGAGAATCCATAGTCTTACCAACTGTTACACACACTACTTTCAAATTGTACAATTCGATACTAAATCAATCGACCATTAAAGCAGACAATAACTAACTCAAGATTTGCCTTAAACAAGACATTGCATATTAGTTACTGACAAGTACAAATATTTGCCTTTTTAAGTACATCTTTTGGAGTCAATTGATTCTAGTGACGATTTTTTTTTAAATTATAAAGGTAAGTTTAGCACTCACAGTGAAAAAATGGTAACATAACACAAAAAAAAAGGGAGTTCTCTATGTAAAAAATATTTCAAGGGAAATCCTTTTTATAAAGTCTGCGGGATGTCTGTAAGAAAATATGGCCACAAAATTTGAATTTTCTATTAATGCAATTGTGACACCGATGTTGTTACTGGAATATTTGATACAGTGCAACAGGTTCTGTTGCTGAAACTGGTGGAGATGCCGAAACGAAAGGCAGTGATCGACGACTGGTCCCCTGCCTATTAAACATAAACCCACCGGTGGAACTAACTCACAGACTGGTAGAGCGGAACAAACGATGACTTTCAGTATGGATTTTTATTTTCACTTTAATGAACGGATGGTGTCAGTTCAAAAGGCTGACTCGGACTGATGACTTAACTTCAGTCGACAAATCATAAAGATAGACAATGTTTACAGGTTGCCAAAGAATTATGATTACATAATAATAAAGTTGACAAATTTTACAAACATACAATTATATGAGTTTTACTGTGCGTACTGTTGTACGTTTGTTTTTTCTACATTGGCTAGAGGTATAGGGGGAGGGTTGAGATCTCAAAAAACATGTTTAACCCCGCCGCATTTTTGCGCCTGTCCCAAGTCAGGAGCCTCTGGCCTTTGTTAGTCTTGTATCATTTTTAATTTTAGTTTCTTGTGTATAATTTGGAGTTTAGTATGACGTCCATTATCACTGAACTAGTATACATATTTGTTTAGGGGCCAGCTGAAGGACGCCTCCGGGTGCGGGAGTTTCTCGCTGCATTGAAGACCCATTGGTGGCCTTCTGCTGTTGTCTGCCCTATGGTCGGGTTGTTGTCTCTTTGACACATTCCCCATTTCCATTCTCAATTGTATTAATTAACACTAAAAAGTAACAATAGACCGTAATTGAAAAACGGATTAATGTCATTGTTATCATACATGACAGTTTTTGTCCTGAACACAAACGTCACCGCATAGGCGCCCTCAAACCAGATGGGAAATCACCTGTTCATATTTTTCTGAAACAAAGCGACAGTCTGAACCAAGTATACCAGACTCAATCTAAATTCTTTTCGTCTTCAATTATAAAATTTTCAACATACTCTCATCCACTCTTGCCATTTGAAGTTAGCAATTGGTACCTTAAACATTATAAAAGAGAGGCGAAAGATACCAAAGAGACATTCAAACTCATAAGTGAACTTAATTTTAAAAGAACAGTAAAAATATGCCCGCCACTACAGGAAGCTGGCTCAGGTATCTTAGGTTAATTAGATAAAGCCGCTCATGAAAACAAACAAAAAATTCAATTAAAACTTCTCACAGTTTTTCGTGAAGTTTTGTCTAAACATTTGATTGAAATAATCCGTATTAAATAGTCAGATAATTTGAAAAAGTACAATTTTAGTAAATAAGTGAGTATTTCACGCCTGTTACCGTTGCAATTGGAAGAATGGTTTAACAATTTCTTGAATTTACATACATCATTTTCAATGTTTTTAGTTATATCAATGACAAAACAATAAGAGGTAAGGAGAGAAATACCGTGTTATATTTTTTTTACGAAAAATAATACATTTACTGAATATAGAAAAGGTACATGCAGCATTTACTCTTTCGCACCTAGATATACATTCAATTCAAAAAACATTGTGGCAAAATTCTATAATTGGATAGAATACTTGTACAAGTAAGTGACAAGAAAGTACTTACAACTATACGAAACTCCAAAGTAAACTCCAAAAGGGAAAAGTTCCTTAAACCTGACAAAATAAACGCTCGACTATATCAATAAGCGAAACGAATGAAAAACTAGTGTCATATGTATAGGGCGTTTTTTACCATCAATTTTGATTTTTCAAAATTCCCATAAACAATTTCGCTTACAAAACATTATATGCTATTGATTTGAATAGTACCGTTTAAATACCTGAAAATAAAACGAGGTTACCAGATTCGATATTGATTTCTTAATTGTTTAAGTTTGAGGGATGGATGTGGAAAAACATAAAAACTAGGTTGATGTCTTTCCTCTAATAAAGTTTAAAAGGAGCGGATGCATGATCTCAACAAGCTTGTTAAGCTGAGCAACATGTTCAAGTTCAGCTTTATGTCAAAAGTTGTCAATAGCTATCTCTTGTATTATCTTGAATGGTTTGTCAATTTGGGAATTTTGCAAATGGTTGATATTATATAAATAACACATAGCTGAGAGGGTGATAGAGCAGATTGTTACCCCGAGAAAACATTGTCAACTGAGGCGAAGCCAAGGTTGACAATGTCTTTTCGAGGGGTAACAATCTGCTCTATCACCCTCTCAGATATGTGTTATTTAATTTATTATACTGAATGTTCTGTTATTACTGTCTGCTAAATTTCAAATACATGTACATAGTAATAAACTATGACCTCTTGTACATAACAACCATCCGTATTTAATAAAGCGCACACTTGATCAAGCGTCTCCGTGAAGGGTAATAGAGTATTTGCCATAGGATAGAGTAAATTGTCTCCCTCGTATTAACCAATCAAAATCTGGCATTTTGACATGAAGTATAATAAAATTTTATTAAAAACTTTATTAGACTTTGGGCGATTAAGAGCATGATATGTCGTATAGACAAAAGTCTATCATGGTTCAATTATAAATAAGTTTATTTTTATCTGTTGTTTAAATACTTGCATACACAAGAATTGCGGACAGCTCAGCTGGATGGCTTTATCAGCTACCACACAGAGAACCGTAATCATTGAAATTTTTTTAACGTTATTGTCTATGGGGAATTATGACCACTAGCTAAATAAACGAATACTATGTCTATTTTATAAATCTCATATAAAATTAATAAATTATAGAGATCTCACCATTTTTTTAGCTTTAAAATGGTGTAATAAAATCCACTTTATCTTGATATTTACTGGTGTCCCTATCATGTTTAACGTCGGGTTCTCTTTTGGTTGAGATATGTTAAATTACGAGGTATACATATTTTATAAAAAATCATATTAAATTCATTTTTTATTGTAAATCAAATTAACAAATTATACAGTATTGGCAAATAATTTTCCTATCAAATGGTATAAGAATCGTCATTTTAAAATAATGTTTACTGTTGTCCCTAAGCATTTGAAAGTGAAACTTCATTATTTATGAATACGATGTATATTCATTCAACTAAGATTGACCGTATTCAAAGACAAATTGGTCTTGTTATTTAGTTGAATTCTCATTTTTATGATGTGAACTTCTTTTCTAATTACATCCATCATTTTAAATATCTAGTTAGGTTTTAAACAATATATTAATTTCTATTATCCCAAAGAGTTCTTTAAACATCAAAATTTTAAAAGTAGTGTGGTTTTGTTGACATCTTGAAGAAAAATATGCAAAAAGTGTTGGGTTTTTTTTCGTTTTTTTTAAAGGCTCTGTCTAATTAATCCTATTTTGATTTGAGTAATTATATTATTATTACCAAATATTTGAATACACAATTGCATGATTGTATTATTGAAAAAAAATGTCTACGAAATCTGAAAAACTAAATTGAAATAGAAAAGATGACAACGTGCAATTTTTAATGTTATTCAAAACATACAAAATTTAATACAAGTTTTGTATAATGAAAAGGTATAGGGAATATTATTCTTATCATTATAAGAAACGATCAGAGAAGTAAATGCAAATATTTTGAATGTATACAGTAAGATATCATAGCACCAAAATTATTGTTAGGATATGCTATCTTTATGTTCTCCTTCATACATTAATCTTATTGTTTAGTACAAGGATTTGTATAGTCCTATACAAATCCTTGTTTAGTATATTCATAAAATGTCGTTTAATAATTACAAATGACGAAAAATATCGAAGTCCTTTTTAAGAAAAGCTCCATAATTATCGATCTCAGCTAACATATAAACACGAATGTGTCAATATTTACATAGTATATTGTTTAAGCGTCCCATGGTGCCACTGCAAATCCTTTCCGGTGCGGTATCTCTATTCAATACCATATGTTACTATTTTATCTTATCATTGAAGTATTATATTGAAAATATAGTAGTCCATGCAAAAGAGATTATTGGGAGACCCCCTTTTTTATTTTTTGCAGTTAATTTATAATTTGAAAATAGTCTTTTCACATCAACTTTTATACCTTGTCTTAAGTGTTCAAACTCTAAGACTTATCAATGCGATTTAACAATAATAATTTATGTATGTTGCCCTCTATTCTTATGTTTAAATGTTTAAGAGTATTCTACACATAAGAATATAGGGTAACACATATAAACTAATTTTATAAAGTAAAACAAAATTGAGATACCGGGCTGAAAATATGAACGAATATTTTCAAATAAGATTAATTACAACAAAAAAATAATTATAAAATTAACTAGACAAAGTGATGCTCCGCACTTCACTCTGAAGTAACTGTATCATAACAAAGATAATGTAGAACTTTATCTGAGATTTAATTGTGTCTGGGAGAAACAAATGATGCCCCCGCAGATGCAAAGTGTTATTTTAAAATAACTTCAACTATCTCCCAAAAGAGCAAATATTAAACCCTGACCACATGCACACCTTCAATATATGTACAAACCACTAAACTTTAAGGAGAAAGTCTGTGGTTTTATTTACTGATATCTTTGTCTAATTAAGGGTAGTGAATTATGTAAGTTTTGTGTTCCTAGAGGACAGGAAAATATTACAATTAAATCCACAGGTGTTAATGAGTTTACGTGTTACCTAGATCAAATAAAATTCAGCATGGAGTATACATCTGGCTTATACAATGTCAATGTCGAATACATGTGACCTACCCATATCAAATAAAATCTAAAATTGACAGTAAAAAAATGCACATCTTGTCATATTTACGATATTGCCTTCTGTAGCTTTTATTTATATGTTTTATGAGATTTCAACCCTCCCTCTACATCTCTAGCCTATGTAGAATAAACAAAACACAGCAATACGCACAGTAAAACCAAGGAATTGTATATTTAAATATACAATTCCTTGGTAAAACTCAGTTTAAAAGAAGTCCGAGTCCGATGTCAGAATAGATAACAAAAGTCTTTTAAGACACTAAGCAAAATGGCAATGATACATGATAAATTAACTAAAGGACTACTACAGCAATAACTGACATGCCAGCTCCACACTTCAATTAAACTGATTGAAAGATTATGTATTCGTCATATTCATAAATTGTCTATCCTTTTCCAGAATCACGTTGAAGAGTTAAATGCTATTTTTTTTTATATAAAACATAATCTAGATAATACTCAAGCCTGCTTGGTGTTGAAAGGATTTGTATATTGGATTTTCATCTAACCAAATTAAAAAGAAATTTACAAGGATAGATCAGTTTGCCTGCGGCTTTTATTGAACTTGTTAAAATCAGAAACACCGATGATAAATTTTTTGGACTATCTTAAAGCTTCCGAAAAGGTCGTGTGTAGTATAAACAGGGTTACAAATTTCATACAATAAGAAAATTTACTAGATTAAGAAAAAAAATTTAAAAAAATTTTGATCAAGAGATATACATATATTATAAATATAGGAAATATAATAACATGTAAACGTATCTCTTTTGAACCATCGTTAACAGAAAATATTCTTTCTACATCATAGGGCATGCACAACTTTTCTTTTTTTAATTATTTCTTTCCTATCGGCAATTTCTTCATCATTCATCTGTGTATAGTGTACGCGGGGTTTCTTTCTTAAATCCAACTGCGTTCGGAATTATCGTATAACTGCGAATATCATAAATTACCCTATAGGCATAACGTCATAGTGACATCTATTGGCGGGGTGTTCGTTTAGGGGAGTTATCTATTCTTATCGACTGGTCACCAGACGATGAGATCAAGATGGGAACCAGAATAGAAAAGTAACACGAGTTATCTCGCCTTGAAATGTCCGTAATTCTTGTACATGCTATCTCATTACATAATAAATATTATTTTATTCATTTGTAATTAAGATAACGATATCGATAATTTGATTTTGTGAGGAGGATAATTAAGCCAATCTTATGTTACAATACTTCGTGAACTCAGATAAACTTTTCTACGGAAATAAAGCGGTTATCTTTTTTGGCGTTTCGATCAAAACAAACCATTCTTTATGTGCATATCAAATAAATATGTTATAATCCTTAATAGTTTTGTGAACATTCTGCTGGACATTAACTTGCCACCCATGAATACAATCCTTAAGGTGGTACCCAACACCTTGACTAATATTAATTTGGCTCGTTTAATTTTCATAAAATTTTGACAAAATGTTTACTTTGAACCTTTGACGAAAATATCAAAATTTCAAAAAATTTGAACCAACCACTTTATCAAAAAAATTTCATTGGTTATATAGCAGTTTGACACTCACTAATTTTGATCATTGAGAAGCTTAGTATTTCCTTAACAATACAACGTGATTAAAACGTTTAGCTGATTTTTACAGAGTTATCTCCCTGTAGTGTTAGGTACCACCTTAAGCTTAATCACATTACATCATGTAATTTAGTTCTAGGTTTTAATTATATTCAGCTGTTATATGTATAGGTTTGGTTTTGAAAAGTACAGCCTTAAATACATAAAACTGGTGTACGTGTTTCTAGTCGTATGTCCGACACTACTTATATGTAGGATTCCAGATAATTTTAAAGGTAGGAATGTTTCCTTTGCTTGTATTCCTTCATACAAACAAGGAAAGTTTACCATGAGGAAAAAAAGGTAAAGATGAAGTCGATATGTTACGAACTAATTTTTCAATCGTATCAAAGACATCTTTGTAACAAGTTGTCACGTAAAAGGGAATGAGAATGAATAAAACACCAAAGAAAATATATCTAGAAAATTAATGTGTTTATTACCCTGAGTAGAATAAGTTTTATTTTTAGAATCATTATTAGTGTCATGTCGATAGCATAAGAATCATGAGAACAGGATAATAGCTATTTGAGCTCATATTGATTAATTAAATAGAAAAATAAAGCAGTTAATTAATTTGTGTTTTCATATTTTAAATACATATAATACAAATGTATGGCCAATTTTCATTGCATGCTAGTTTTGATATGTTAACTTCTTATGGAACAATGACAAAAGAGATTGATTTGAATATTACGTTTTTTTTAGAACTTTTGACATTTGCCATTATTTTGTTTTCTACTCCTGCTAGTGTATAACTTAAAACGATAACATATTCAATTCATTTCCTCGAGGTATGATACAATCTCCGTACAGCGCTCGTTTCCGTTCCGTATACTCAGTGCACTACCATATAATGACTCAGTGTAGTGATACGAAGTAAGTACGGAACAGATGTGAGCTCTGCGCCGGAGATTGGGTATTATAGTTAATAATTGAGGTATGTTCACAATTGCCATTAGTATTGAAGACAGACACTGTCTCCAGTTTTCCGAATGTTTGCTAGTTAATCTGTTAACTTATAACACAACTGCAGCCGCTATTTTTCTTTGAGGTTGTAGGTACAGTACCAGTGTGCAGATTGATACTTGAATATCCTTTTCTTAAAGCAAGGTGGTCTTGTGAAAATTTATTACCAGGGTCACTATCAACATCATCAACATCATCATCATCAACATTATCATCACCGCCATTTTTTATAAGACGTTTGATTACTGACATGAACATTTCGGTTACGTTTTCATTTAATTTTGCGCTTGTTTCTATGTGAAGTAAATTTTCCTTTTCAGCAAAAATCTAAAATACATGAAGAATAACTTGATAAAGATACAGTTCTAATATTTTTATATTTATCTTACGCGTACAAAATGAAAAAAACACGTTATCAATTTCATGCATTCGAAACGTTTTTTCCGGATTTACCTTCATCAGGAACGCTTAAAGCCAAATATTTGAAAGCCGAGGATGTATAAGAATCAAAAAGATATGCATACAATACCTATATTTTAAAAATGTTCCGAATAAAGGAAATATTTACAGACGGTTCCATGTCTTATTGTAGAACGTTTAATAAAAAAAAAATTTTGTGTTTGAAAACAATTTCATTGGTAATCTTACAAAACTGTGTTTGTATTAAAAAGTACATTGGTTGAGTACAAATTGGTTTTGAACTGTTAACATGTTTTAAGTGGCCGTTTATTGGTCAAACAAACATAACTGTTTACTGAGTAGCTGATAAATACAAAATAGCTATGGCAATAAAAACAAGCAATTGGAATGTTGACCTTTTCATTCTATTAATAGTATCAGTTGACATGTTTAGATAATCAACTGAAACAGTCAGTCATGCTTTCAGTTACAGTTTTGCTAAATTAATGTCTGTGATGCTGTAAAACCAAATATACATTGTCTATACTGTGGATATTGGTATATATTTGACAGTTGGAAAAAAATTATCAATTTCTTTATTCTTTAAAATCTACCGAAAAAGTGTTTAATAGCAGGAACCTTGAATCACTAAGTATTTAAACTTAAAAATAGGATCAGTGTATTAAGCAGAGTAAATATTGGTTTCAGAATCAATATCACTGAAGGTATTGAGCAATCATTTGATGATTAAACTGATCAAAGACCCTCACCGATCGCACTGAACAGGATTTTGTTTTGAGTGAGGTTTCCTTCGTGCTTATATTCTTTTCCATGGAGATCCCTGCATACAAATTCTTACGGTTGAATTTTGGCGCTTTCTTTCTTGACTATTAAGTTCATCCCATACTTCTATATGCACTATTTTCCCATATTCTAAAACTGGAATTCACTTAATACCTCAGAACTGGAAATTTACCATGTCGGTAAAACGTTAAAAATCTCTTCACGAAATGGTCTCAAAGTTTCATCTGCGCAAGTACTATGCAAATGAATGTCGATTAGATGCATAGATTGCTAATTGGAGCATTGATTCGCGAACGTGGACACAGAGATTGCTCCAATAGTTTCGAGGCTGTGTATGGTCAATTTTGTCTGCGGAAGTAAGAAACTTATTTTTGTTTAATAAATAAATATACCTCCACGTCTTTTTTGTTAATTTCACGCTTCATGTCAGATTTGTTTCCTACAAGAATAGCAACAGGTTTCGTTTTAAAGGAATTATATCTTCTCCATCGTTCACAAATTTCCGTCACATTCTCTAAAGATTCCTGAAAGAATACTTTGCTCTTATAAAACGCTGTAAACTCTATGAGTATATAAAATGTAAAGTTCCGTAAAATATATATATAGATATTTTGAAACCATTTTTCTTCCTCTTCATCGGGGCATTTTCTATCTTCATTTTTTCAAACGTATTTATTAAGTGTTTCTTAACATGTACCAAGTATATATCTAGGTCTTATCTTTATAACTATGTCTAATGAATGAGTTTGTGTTGGAAATTGGCATTACTACAAACTTTTTTTCCAGCTAATTCTGGTGTTTATCATGAGTTGTCATAAATAAATGGCGATGTTTGGTACACATCATTTAGACAGCAACCCAATGGATAATTATATCAAGAGACATATTCATATAGAGAGCAATTTACAGTCTTCAACAATAGACATATGTCTATTCAATATGTCAAGTTCTAAATCATCCGAATTTATATTCAACGGAAACACTCAAAGAACTGTCAATAACGCCATATTCTCAAAATAAAAAAAAAAACAATATTAAGATAATGACTCGAACTCACAACTATTCAAGGGTTACAGATGACTTAAGCTTTGGGACATGCAAATGTGGCGGGTTAAGTAGTAATTTATTCCCCTTTTTATCTCAGTCATTAGATTAGCTACACGTACATAAAAGAAATTGCAGATAAAAAACTACAAGAAAGGCACTTAGTATTTTTTTATGATTTGTTTTCAAACATATTTCTGATTGAGCCTGTTTGCTCAGAAAGGCTTCACAATTGTCCAAGGAAGTTACACTTCACTTCAACCAAATTAATAAAAAAAAAACATGTAAGATTTAACACATATTCTTGTTTTGTTTAGTCAGTATCATGATATTTACTATTTTACAATTAGTGATCTTCATTTTGTTTCTGATTTATGGTAGAGTTTTGCTTCGATTACTGGTCAAGTCAAATTAAGTGCTTTTGAAACAGTTCCAGTTTCCCCTTTAATTTTATTGTATGTACATTCGGAGAGTCGGAAGTTTTTTTGATAAAGTGAACATTTTTCCACCTGGCGTTAACCATCTATCAATTCATTCATGCATCTATCAACGTTCTAATATCACTTTTCCCCTCTTGTTTTATGTTGGGTTTTTTTTTGACACACTGTATTGCAATTGTGTGTTTTTGGTTGTTGTTTTTCTTTGTTTGTATTTCTGTTATTTTTCAGAGGAATCCGATGTTGGTGGTCGGTGTGGTAAGTTTTTCGGTATTTTGGCCATTCTTGTTATCTTTTTTAAGAACTATTCCTTCTATTTTCGTATTAAGGGATTCCTCACTCGGTTATTGTAAAAATACTAATCAAGCGACGAACTCTTATTGTTGAGGTAATTACTTTACACATGTACATAAAAAAGTGTCACATGTTGCTTCTAACTTGTATCTGGTTTTTTCGGAGTTCATTCTATAATTCATGCTTAACAGGACATGTTAAATTGACACGAACCAAATGTTTTCTTACTTACCTGTTTGGAAATATCATAGATGATAATAGTTGCATCCATCTCAGCATAGTAATTGATAGAATAACCCTCGTAATTTCTATCTCCATCTGTGTCAGACTGAAATTGTATGAATGATGTACATTATTGAATAATCTACAACACGATGTAAACATAATTATTCATAAACTTAAAGTAAAAAATTGAAAAACAGAAAAAAACTATAGAATAGTTTAGTATAGCTTCAAACTATAAATAATTGAATATAAATTGAGATCTATCCCAAAAGTACCAAATACAATGCAGAGCTAAATGTTTTTTGATATATTCATTATGTTATCCCATTGTTAACTATCCACGAACACCACACCTATAAAAGTGAACAATATCATCAATTTAGAAAAATGTTGAATAAAGCTATTTTGTGTAATCAAAAAATGCAATCAAAAAGTATGTTATATCATCTTTAGTGGTGTATTGTAGAAAAACATGTAAAACATTTTATCAAGCAGATTGTTTTGCCTCCGTAAAATCATGAGGCCATGAGTTCAATTTCTTAAGCGGCGAAAATATTGAAAATTACACTAAGAACTTATGGAAAGCTTTCTACGATCCGTCTTAGGTCAACCCTCTGCTGGTCAACAGACAATGTCTTTGCTTTTATCTCAAAGTGTGGCATGCTTGGCAGAGGGTACGAACATACAAATTTAAGTATTTGATTTGATCAAGAATGGGAATCCGCGATAAAAAAAAAAAAAAACCCATAGCTCAAAGCGAGCACGCTACTAAGAAACAAGGTGCCGTTATTTTGAAATTATATCTTCATTTATTTTGAAACATTTTGGCAACACTACGCGTGAGTCATCGTTCAATGCTACAGCTGTTTTAAAAATCAGTTTAGATAACACAGGAATTAGAAAAACTACTAAATTAATGTGGATTCAGTATTACTAGTGGGATACCAATTTTCGTCGAATTCGCAGGTATTGGTTGACCACGAATTTTTAAGTTCAACAAAGTGCACATTTTCTTAAGGCTTGTGTTCAGACTTATGCAAAATCACGAATTCAAATATCCACCAAAGCACAAGTTTTCCTTAATCCACAGAAATTGGTACCCACGAAAATAAATGAATCCACAGTAATTATATATTCTCATCTGAACACTAGGATATATTGAATGTCATATTTATATTGTTTTCGAGGACCAATTGTGTTTGATTGAAGTAAATGTCATGGACATTAAACTAATAAACTCATCATAGATACCAGGATTGAAATTTTGTATTTGTGCCTGACGCGCGTTTCGTCTACAAAAGACTCATCTTAATTGTAGTAAATGACAATGTAATTGAATTTAAACCTAGTACGTGATTTCCAAAAGGTTTATTTAAACTGTCATGATGTTTAAACAATGCATATGCCATTACAGTGTTTTCGAAAATTTTCCTTGATACTGTTGATCGTGGTATGCAATTGAATTTTCAAATAGTGCTTCTGAATTTCAACGGCTGCATCGCTGACAAGTTTTCCTACATACAAATTCAGTATGCTTCTGAAAACATTAACATAAAGAAACACCTTTGACAAGTCAGTTCATCATAGAAAGAGACAAGGGAAGCCTACTTTTATTTGAACGATAACCTACTCCACTGTTTTAAATTTAATGCAATGTGTGTAATTTAAAGTAGTGAATTTATACATAAAGCTTCTAACAGTAGGCTCAACTAGATTACTTTACCATATGGATACCTGTACTTGGCTAGTAATGCTCTTTACGTTCGTAATTAATATGGATCTCAGTCTACTGTATTTGGGCGTAACTGAATCCGTAAAATCAACAAATGATTGCATGACATTATAACCACTTATATTTCATAGTACAGAGATTTCCACTATGATGTGTAGATTAACTGAAGTAGGTCGAGCATGAAACGTAGATTTAACCAACAAAAAATGTTAACTCCAATATTGACATACTCATTAACTTTCATATCAATGCTTCCTTGGTTTACTGTGGTTTCTTTTATATAAACTTTCCTCTAAAACTAAACCTCATTTACTGATTATTCCAAATATTTTTTTTTTTAATTTCTATGATAACGTATGTGTTGATCAGACGCCAAAGTCATAAAGATAGAGGAAATAGATAAGTTTTTGAATATAGCGTTAAATCTAAGAAAAAACCATCACGAATGTTTCGAAAGGAATAACAAAAAATACAAGCTTTTAAAATGTGATTAAAAACGCATACTTTATACTTACGATCTGTACAGGAATTGGTTTTCCGTTTACTTGAGCAACATATGACTTCTATTTAAATGCAAAAATAAAATATATTCTTTTAGTTTAAGCACGATATGCAATTCTTATTATGGTAAGATTTATTCTCCCTCATGATGACAACCTTCACATTACAAAAATATCAGTCGATATTGCTCCTATTTGTTATGTTCATGATTCAAAGCCAGTATATTGATGGTGCAGTTATGTTATGACATATGTAATCATTGGTATGATTTCTTTATGTAAATTCACTGTTCTTAAAATACAAAAAAAATCATTCGAAATTCTTATATTTTTCTTTATCTTTCTGGAAATCCTACACATTTTTCTAGGAATATGATTGGTTAAAAGCAACCGCGTGGAGACCCTGTATATTTCATATTACTAATAGGTTCGGCATTATGAATGTCAAGCGGGGCTTATTTCAATACACGGTTAGTAGTGGTGTGACGTCCCTTTATAAAAATAACACGGTGTTGAGGAAAAATCTGAAAGGTTTCAACATACGAAGAAATTGATGATGAACGATTGAAATAAATTCATAAACCACATTTAAAGATAACCAGTTGTTATTGCTGACATTTGTTTTTGTATAGACAAATAGAAGTAGGTTCTTAATAGAGAGTAATGAAGACTTAATCACTTTGATAGGCCACTAGTCTAAATACATGTTAAGATAATCGGTAAGATAAATTCGTTACACAGTGTGCTAACAACTTATACGATACATATGGGGTCAGTAAATTCCATATAGGGATTCGAGCTTCGCTCTCAACCCATATGGAATTTACTGACCCCATATTTATCGTATTAGGTCGGTATCTCATTAAGTAATTAATAATATAGCTACCATCAAAGACATACGGTCTGGATCAGATTTCGCACATTTTTTGAAACTTTTGGTTTTTAGAAATCTTTTCTTCGTTATCCTTTTTGGCTTTCTAACTGTTTTGATTCAAGCGATACTGGTGAGTTTTATATCTATGTAGACGAAACTCATGTCTTGTTTACCAGAATTTCAGCTTAGTATCTTTTAAGAAGTTATACAGATACTATAATACTTTGCTTTCGGTATTATGAATGTCAACTTAATAAGTTAAACAGACACTATTATACTATGTTTTGGCATTATGAATGTCAACCTAATAATTTCAACAGATACTATTATAACTATGTTCTCGACATTATGAATGTCAACCTAATAATTTCAACAGACACTATCATAATGTCAACCTAATAATTTCAACAGACACTATTATACTATGTTTTCGGCATTATGAATGTCAACCTAATAATTTCAACAGACACTATTATACTATGTTTTCGGCATTATGAATGTCAACCTAATAAGTTATACAGACACTATGATACTATGTTTTTAGGTATTATGAATGTCAACCTAATAAGTTATACAGACGCTATTATACTATGTTTTTTCTGTATTGTCTTGTTTTGTGTGAAGATCCTGCCTTTCATTGAGTTGTTGCAAGTAATCCTTTCTTTTTATACACCGGGAATGTTAATGATATTAACCTAATAAGTTATACATACACTATTATACGATGTTTTTTGGCATTATGAATGTCAACCTAATAAGTTATACATACACTATTATACTATGTTTTTCGGCATTATGAATGTCAGCCTAATAAGTTATACATACACTATTATACTATGTTTTTCAGCATTATGAATGTTAACCTAATAAGTTATACAGACACTATTATACGATGTTTTTCGGTATTATGAATGTTAACCTAATAAGTTATACATACACTATTATACGATGTTTTTCGGTATTATGAATGTTAACCTAATAAGTTATACATACACTATTATACTATGTTTTTCGGCATTATGAATGTAAACCTAATAAGTTATATATACACTATTATACGATGTTTTTTGGCATTATGAATGTTAACCTAATAAGTTATACATACACTATTATACGATGTTTTTCGGTATTATGAATGTTAACCTAATAAGTTATACATACACTATCATACGATGCTTTTCGGTATTATGAATGTTATCCTAATAAGTTATACATACACTATTATACGATGTTTTTCGGCATTATGAATGTTAACCTAATAAGTTATACATACACTATTATACGATGTTTTTCGGTATTATGAATGTTAACCTAATAAGTTGTACATACACTATTATACGATGTTTTTCGGTATTATGAATGTTAACCTAATAAGTTATACATACACTATTATACTATGTTTTTCGGCATTATGAATGTTAACCTAATAAGTTATACATACACTATTATACGATGTTTTTCGGTATTATGAATGTTAACCTAATAAGTTATACATACACTTTTATACTATGTTTTTCGTCATTATGAATGTTAACCTAATAAGTTATACATACACTATTATACGGCATTATGAATGTTAACCTAATAAGTTATACATACACTATTATACGATGATTTTCGGTATTATGAATGTTAACCTAATAAGTTATACAGACACTATTATACGATGTTTTTCGGTATTATGAATGTTAACCTAATAAGTTATACATACACTATTATACGATGTTTTTCGGTATTATGAATGTTAACCTAATAAGTTATACATACACTATTATACGATGTTTTTCGGTATTATGAATCTTAACCTAATAAGTTATACATACACTATTATACGATGTTTTTCGGTATTATGAATGTTAACCTAATAAGTTATACAGACACTATAATACGATGTTTTTCGGTATTATGAATGTTAACCTAATAAGTTAAACATACACTATTATACTATGTTTTTCGGCATTATGAATGTTAACCTTATAAGTTATACAGACACTATTATACTATGTTTTTCGGCATTATGAATGTTAACCTTATAAGTTATACATACACTATTATACTATGTTTTTCGGCATTATGAATGTCAACCTAATAAGTTATACATACACTTTTATACGGCATTATGAATGTTAACCTAATAAGTTATACATACACTATTATACGATGTTTTTCGGTATTACGAATGTTAACCTAATAAGTTATACAGACACTATTATACTATGTTTTTCGGTATTATGAATGTTAACCTTATAAGTTATACAGACACTCTTATACGATGTTTTTCGGTATTATGAATGTTAACCTAATAAGTTATACATACACTATTATACTATGTTTTTCGGCATTATGAATGTCAACCTAATAAGTTATACATACACTATTATACGATGTTTTTCGGTATTATGAATGTTAACTTAATAAGTTATACATACACTATTACACTATGTTTTTCGGTATAATGAATGTTAACCTAATAAGTTATACATACACTATTATACTATGTTTTTCGGCATTATGAATGTTAACCTAATAAGTTATACATACACTATTATACGATGTTTTTCGGTATTATGAATGTTAACCTAATAAGTTATACATACACTATTATACGATGTTTTTCGGTATTATGAATGTCAACCTAATAAGTTATACATACATTATTATACGGCATTATGAATGTTAACCTAATAAGTTATACAAACACTATTATACGATGTTTTTCGGTATTATGAATGTTAACCTAATAAGATATACATACACTATTATACGATGTTTTTCGGTATTATGAATGTTAACCTAATAAGTTATACATACACTACTATACGATGATTTTCGGTATTATGAATGTTAACCTTATAAGTTATACAGACACTATAATACGATGTTTTTCGGTATTATGAATGTTAACCTAATAAGTTATACATACACTATTATACTATGTTTTTCGGCATTATGAATGTTAACCTAATAAGTTATACATACACTATTATACGATGTTTTTCTGTATTATGAATGTTAACCTTATAAGTTATACATACACTATTATACTATGTGTTTCGGCATTATGAATGTCAACCTAATAAGTTATACATACACTATTATACGGCATTATGAATGTTAACCTAATAAGTTATACATACACTATTATACTATGTTTTTCGGCATTATGAATGTCAACCTAATAAGTTATACATACACTATTATACGGCATTATGAATGTTAACCTAATAAGTTATACATACACTATTATACTATGTTTTTCGGTATTATGAATGTTAACCTAATAAGTTATACAGACACTATTATACGATGTTTTTCGGTATTATGAATGTTAACCTAATAAGTTATACAGACACTATAATACGATGTTTTTTCGGTATTATGAATGTTAACCTAATAAGTTATACATACACTATTATACGATGTTTTTCGGTATTATGAATGTTAACCTAATAAGTTATACATACACTATTATACGATGTTTTTCGGTATTATGAATGTTAACCTAATAAGTTATACAGACACTATTATACGATGTTTTTCGGTATTATGAATGTTAACCTAATAAGTTATACATACACTATTATACGATGTTTTTCGGTATTATGAATGTTAACATAATAAGTTATACATACACTATTATACGATGTTTTTCGGTATTATGAATGTTAACCTAATAAGTTATACATACACTATTATACGATGTTTTTCGGTATTATGAATGTTAACCTAATAAGTTATACAGACACTATTATACGATGTTTTCGGTATTATGAATGTTAAACTAATAAGTTATACAGACACTATTATACGATGTTTTTCGGTATTATGAATGTTAACCTAATAAGTTATACATACACTATTATACTATGTTTTTCGGTATTATGAATGTTAACCTAATAAGTTATACATACACTATTATACAATGTTTTTCGGTATTATGAATGTTAACCTTTGTGCGGACTTCCAATTTCAATTGACAGGAAAACTACTATTAAATTTCAACTTTTTAAAATAGTAAGACATATGTATTGTCATCCATATGCAACGAGACAGCAATCTAACGACTCAACAAAATCATGTAAATTGTAGATCTTAATGTGTTGTCTCCAACAGTAGACAACTGTCAAATTGTATAATAGCCTTTGTATTATTTGTGATGATCTTCATTGACATGTAGAATGTTTTTGTTTTGTTTGTTTGTTTTTTGTTTTGTTCTTTATTTCCAATGCACATTAACCTGTGTTACAGAATAGCTATATCAGTGATAAGTACTTTAATTTAATTTGAAACTTTAAAATGATACAATTACAGGAAAAAAACACTGATTCTAACAATAAGTCAGCTATAGGATTTGTAGCTTGAAAAAAAGCAAAACGGAAGGTAGAGGTTGCATTTCTGTAAGTATAGACAATGCAATTTCCCATAGGAACCCGTTTACGACTAAATCTGTACCACTTTTAGTATGAATTTTCGAAAAACAATTATATCCTAGAATGGAAAGCTCATATGCACTACTATTTTTTTTAAGGTCAAAATATAGGGCTGTACGGCATATTTTCAACATGTATATGCCCCGAACTTCTAAGAGTTTAAACTTATACTTAAATTCTGTACTACCCTCCCTTCACTTTTGGTCATCCTTAGAATTCAAGGCGGTCACTATTTATGTTTATTTATACTGGTAACAATTGTTACATTCCCAAGTTACGTCTCTATGAGATGAAACATAGAGATCATATCTTGGAACCAGTACATAAACAAAACAAAATATCTATAAATATTTTATAACTCCCCAAAATAGGCGTGGTTTGTGAAACAGCTGCATTTACCAAGTGCAACCTGGAATAAGTAATTTCAATATGACAGTACGTTCAATTTTCGTTTCATTATGAAAAAGGAAAGAATGGATTAATATATCGTACTTACGGTGTCCATGTATTGTGTTGATATATGTTCTTCATTGAAGGCATCTTTCTGAAGAAAAGAAAAACAAAATCAGAGGTTTCGACATTGAACTAACATTACCTTATAAAGTCGAAACGCGATAAACTTTGTACAGATTTTGCAACTTTTTGTCAAACTCTTTCATATATGATGAAAAGACGATGCATGATAAGACTAACATAACAAAATTAGTAAACAAATTTCAAACATCAGCAAAGTTTTTATGCATGCAAAAACGACTATTTATTTCATCTTAAACTGTGTAATTTGATTTGCTATATTAGTTAGTTACTGCAGTTAAGTTAGCGTCTTCATAAAATATGTCATAACCGATTTGCGACAACAGATTTGCCATAGTGTGAAAATATCATGTGTATGAATTCAAGTCTTTGATGAAGGATAAGTTTTTTGTTATTAATTTATGTCTACTGACAATCTTGAATGCATATTCATCAAATTATTAATTGATAATTCAGTACTAAAGCGTAGTTCGACAATTTTCGAAAAGTTACGACGGTCACTTAAAAAATAAATTTTGGAACAGATTCACAACCGGTCTATATCCTGGTCGAGTTTTTTAAAAAATAATGAGAGCGGGGTCTTCAGCCAACAGAAGCGCTGAATTAAAATGATGGTCTCTGGACTTCACAAACGAAGCAAGAAACCTTCCATCTAACGGAAGAATTCTAGTAGCAAACAAATTAAAAGTAAAATAACAAAAATACCGAACTCCGAGGAAAATTCTATATGGAAAGTCACTATTAAGCAAATAGCAAAATCAAAAGCTCAAACACATCATACGAATGGATAACAACTGTCATATTCCTGACTTGGTACAGGCATTTTCTTATGTAGAAAAATTAAATTTAAGTTTATCTCTAAACCCCCTGGCACCCTTGTAATGACCGGTTTTGATAAAAATTCCTGACCCAAACATATTTAGCGTTTTTTGTTTGATTTTTTATTCAATTTAGCCTGATTCTACTTATGATTTGAGTCACATACACGGTTTAAAGCATTCAAATCTCATCATGTTATAGATTTGTCGTCTGTCGGTTCCAATATCCCAATTTCAGCGAAGAAAATCTGCAACGTCCATCCGGATATGCTTATGGATTATTATTGCACAGATCATGAGATCGTTTTCTATAGAGCAAGGCATCGCTAAAGACCACAGGAAATGTGAAAGCGTTCTGACATAAGAACATGCCTCGATGGAAGTCAAAAAGTCTGCGTTGTTCACCGACATAATGGCGGACATAAAGCACCTTATTACAACTTTAAATGATTTACACGATAACAGAGAGTCGAACTTACAATCGCTTTTAATATCCAAATCAGTAATAACCAAACAGATCAATGAATTCAAATCTCGATTATTGAAACAAATAGATAATCTTAAACACGATCTTCACGCCGAAGTGTCATCTCTCCATCGTAAACACGAGATAGAAATCAATAAACAAAAATAACAAATATCACAAGTTTGGGCAGCTTAAAAGCAAATGAAAACGAAATTGATTTCCTCAATGATCACGGGTCCGATTTTCAGCTGTTAAAATCCTTGCATCAACAAGTAAAATATATCCAAAGCGCCGAAGCTAGTGTCCTGCAGATGATATCCCATTAACAAGAAATCGAAATTACCTTTGTTGAAAAGAAAGATATCAAACTTGAATTCATAAATACATATTGCAAATTGTTATCGCCATTTCACATTAAAAAAGTTACAGAAAAACATATCCTTCTAAAATTCTAAAATTTTAAGATCAAAATTGGAACAGTTCACATAAATCGATTACGACGATACAAACCAAGGTAAGAAACAAAGCTGGGGGGATTGCATGAATTTTAAAATAAGTAAGACGGGGAGCATCGATATTACACGAGCCTCCTGCATATGCATGTACATGCATTAACCGCAGTGCGAAATAAGAATGTTTTGAACGACCCAAAATCTCCTTTACCGGTCTAAACTAAGTATTATGAGCAGTACAGGAAGAAGAAAAACGTGTTTATCATAAAAATTAGAAGATATGGTATGATTACCAATGAGATAACTCTTCACCAGAGACCAAATGATATTGAAGTTAATAACTATAAGACCTGTGTGGCCTTCAACAATGAAAAAACCCATAACGGATAGGCAGCTATAAAAGGTCCCGAAATCAAACGAGAAAACTAACGGCCTGGTTTATGTACAAAATAATGAACAATAACATTTCGATCAAATCTAGAAGGCAATATACAATGTTCAACAGTATAGACATCATATTTACCATGATGAACGAAACATTTCACATGTAAAAGAAAGTGAATAAACTGGAACAACAGCTTAAAGAAAAGAGTTATTGAAATAACAAACAGCAATAAAAAGAACGTTTTTTTTCATATTGAATAGAAATGCTATTGTTGAAGACCGTATTTTATAATTTTCTTTAACCTTTAACCTGCGATCTATTTTATTAAAATGAAAAGTACTAATTTGGCGAATGGCAACAGAGATATATAGTATGATTACTGTTTAAATGAATATGATACGTCATAAGGTCATTTTTAAAGGGAAGTGGAACTGTTTGAAGCAATTATATAGTTTTGAATTGTTATAATTGTACTTACAATAAAGCGATTGATCAAGCTTGTTTTTCCACAGCCTGACGAACCCGTTACAAGTATTGAGAAATTACTGAAATAAAACAAAAAAAAGTAATTTTATATTTTGCAAGGCTATATACTGGTTCTCCAAACTAATAAAAGGAGATTAGTAAGCATCTGAATTAAAGTCAAACATTGCAAATTGGGTAAACTAGAAGCGTTGGCATTCGTACCAGCCTGGTTTTCTCTGTTCAATTAATTATAATTCTTTGTGCTGTGTATGACCATGTCAATTACTCGAATGACCTCTTAGTAGTACCACATACTAGCGTTATTTATACTTAATTGACATGAAGGCCCAATCTGGTCACAATGTTATATTTGACACTTAAGCTAGAGAAACGCGTTATTGTTGTCTTGCGTAGTCTAGAGTAAAGCGTCGTTTTAAAATTTGCATACCCTAGAGTATTGAAATACAGTTAGTTCACGTACAACAGAACAGCACGTAACAGTTAGTTCACTTACCCTAGCGCAACTCATAAAAGTACTTTCGCGTCCATTAAAGCAACACGTTGCAACTGTTTACCATCCGAGTTGTTCGCGATGTTAAATCAGAATTTACTATATCCCATATTCTGTTAACCAAGATTCCTTAATATGTTTTAATCCGAAAGTGTGCACTTTCTTGACAATTTCAAATGCACGGTTCAAATACGAGGAAATGTTTAAATGATGTTAATCGAAAATTAAGAGCCTGTTAGTGTTGATTGCAATAACTATTGGTTGATTGGTAGTTATTCTACGCCGCCTCAGCACAAAACGGCTATATCGCGACGATGTTTGTGTTGAAAAGCTTTCGTCAGTTCTTTTAAGGTTATCGTTATTGTCAGACTTATATTGCACTGCGTGTTTTGTGATACAGTGTTCCAAGGTTTATTTAACCTGAAAAGTCTTTGAGTGAGAGTGTGTGTATGTGTGTGTGTGTGTGTGTGTGTGTGTGTGTGTTTGTGTTGTGAGGGGTGACAATTTTCAAGTGGGTTAAAAGGGGAAACCCAGGATATTAAAAACTAAAGTGATATTTTGATAAGTGACACAATTATTTATGAACGAATGGGTGAAGTGGGTCCTACTTTTCTTCTCGCCTTACGCGATTTTAATTCTATATTGAACTGAATATGATTAGACATAGAAGAGGGAGAAACGCAAACCACCCTTTCTTACAAGTAAGTTGTATCTAGCGTACGGTTTCATAGTTACATAGAGCTATAATGAACGTATCAAAACTTGCATTGTGACCCGAATGGTCCTTCATAGCTTAAGAACTGTGAGTGTGGATGGGTTTTGTGGGTGTCAACACATTGTTTGTATAGGCCCATGTTCCTAGCCATCATGTGCTCAAAAGTTTGGTATTAACTGATATCCAAGGTCTAGAGAAACTAGATTCCAAGTTGATTGATGAGAATATAGCATCAAACTTGATTTTTTTAAATGATTGTTTATGTCGAAACGTCGAAGATAATAGACCAGTTTTATCACATATTCATTGGGAAGCCTTAGAAACAAATCAAGGTAACAAACAAACACAAGGAATCGCATAAAATACAAAAGTTCTCAGACCGGGTTTGAATAAAAAGAAACATATTCGTTAGGTACAAAAAAATAAAATGTCCTTATTCAAACTACAAGTATATAAAGAATAATTCTGAATATTGCGCTTCATCGGGCATGCAGTAAAGTTCGTTTGTTGAAGAATTTATAAGGGAGGACTGGTGCTGATAAGGATGGGTCTGGACAGGAACATCCTGTTAATCAATTCATACGCACGAAATTGATAGTTTTTTTTCTTTTTTTTCATATAAAAGAGACGTCTGACTAAGCGATACATACATATTTTGTGTGGTAAAAAGTAAAATCACAAAAATACTGAACTCCGAGGAAAACTCAAAACGGAAGGTGCCTAATCAAATGGCAATATCAAAAGCTCAAACACACTAAAAGAATGGATAGCATTTGTCACATTCCTGACTTGGTACAGGCATTTTCCTATGTAGAAAATGGTGGATTAAACCTGATTTTATAGGGAGATAATCAAATTTGAACCATGTTCCAATGCATTACACTTCAAGGGAAAAAAAGTAGTATGATATTTATTTTCCGACTTTAAATGGCCTTTTGTGTACCCAAGGCAAGTGAAGGAAGCCAACTTAGGAGTGCTGTGATTGGATGTAAGGGTATAATATATTTTTTATGTATTTGTGGATAATTCCAGTGTGTATATTTACAACATTAACTTTGAGACACATTGAAATACTGTTAAAGAGCCTTTCCTAGTTTCTAAACTTCATACGAAAACTGTTTTTTTTTACATGAATCATATTTTGTATATAATATACCTATTGATTAAACCATAGCATGAAACGCAGGGAAAAATCTGATATTTCTTAAAGACTTCATACGACATTTTTATTTCAAGCAGACGACAATGGTTGAATTTTGACTTGGGTTGTTATGCAATTCTTATTTCCATGTAGCGCATTAAGGATGCAGAACAAAATTTCACTAAACACTCATTTGCAGATCCGGTGCCGCCATTTCCGAAAGATACCGTGTCATGTAAATAATCAAAATGTGCGGAATAATTTGAGAGCACCATGCTTTCTTTGCGTAAGAGATCCATTGAAGCATCTTAATGTGTCCTTAGGTGGCGTGTTGCAACGTACAACACCTGCCCCTATCCAACATTCCCTTTATCCATTTTCAGTTTAAATTTTCCGCTCCTGTCACCAAATTTGCAGAACCAACCTATTGTGTTCATTGCTTATAGTTTCTGGTCATGAATATGAATGAAATGATTGAGACTTGAGTTAAACAACCAACAAGCAATCAATCAAAAACTCTTTCCATTCGGTTAGGAAAAGGTTATTGAACCCTCAAGTCGGAATATATACTGCAATGACCAAAACGTTCGTTGATTCTGCCTTGTCTGAAGGTATTACTAGAAGCTTCTATGGGCCCTTTCAACGCTCTATTAACATAAAGACATTTTCAGATATGAATACGAAAACAAAGTTAAAATACAGATCAGGAGAGATAGTTCAAGGACAAATCAACCCAGAGCTCATATTTCGTCGTGCCCTAGCACTTACGAAATGCGGAGATGATGTTACTGTTGAAAAATTGATTTCGTTCACTATTGGAACCATACTCACTTCACTTTTCACGATGATGGAACGATGCGAAAAGGTGTTAAATCTGATCTTGCACATGAGCTTGAACGTGAGATATGCCCATCTTTTGATCTTCCACCATTTGACCCACCACTCACGGTTGTGATCAGGGATGGCATGGCTATTATTCAATCTTTGGATGTGACAAAGTTTTCCAGTTTGGGTGATCTGCTTACTTTCTATTTGAAGAAGCTGTCAACTCTCTTTCAGTCGGCATCAACAATTGTAGATGTATTTGATAGGTATGACATACCAGACTCTGTCAAATCGACTGAATGGGAATGTCGGTCTCAAGCAGCTGGTGGACAAAAGGTATATCGTGTAAATGAAGGAAGCAGTATCCCAGACTAGAAAAGAATCCTGGCGAACAAAAGAAATAAACAGGTTTTAATCTGCTTCATCGGTGAATTTATTTCGAAATTTTATTGTCCCAGTAATCCACTACCTGTCGGACAAACATTATATCTAGCAGGGACTTTCCAGAATCCATAAATCGTAAAAAAAATAACTTACGATCAAATAACTGACTGTGCGAGCCTGACCAGCACACAAGAGGAAGCCGACACAACACTCGTTTTACATGCTTTCCATGCAGACGAACAATTTAAGAACTGTAATGTTAGAGGGAGAACGATTGTCAAATGTTCTGACACTGATGTTTTAGTTCTCTTTGTTCCCTCGGATGCTAAACACAGATCAGCTATGGCTGTTCATGGGTTCTGTCACTAGTGGTAAGGATGGTAGGCGATACATCCAAGTGCATGAGTTGTGTAGCTCTCTTACAAACATTACACGTGAAATTCTACCAGCAGCTCATGCTCTTACTTGTTGTGACACCTCATCAAATCTCTTTGGCATTGGGAAAAGTCTGTTTTAAGCTTTTGAAGTCGTCATCTGCAGGACTGGCGGGTCTATCACAACTACGTAACACAGATACTGACACCTCCATCTGTGTTGTAAGAGAACTTGTATCTAAGTTGTATGACCCAAAAGGCAAATAAAAGTCAAGTCACCACGATTTGAACAAGTTACGTGTTAGACTTGCAGCTAGCAAAGACTGCTCTCTTGTTCGCCTTCCACAGAGCAAATCGTCATTCGAACAACACGTTATAAGAGCCAGTTTACAAACAAACATATGGATGACATCACATCATGCAAAACCGCCAATAGGTTCACCCTATGAATACGGTTGGAAAAAAAATTTGCAATGGACCAACCCAGTTTTGTTCACTGGACGTATGTCATCAGACTTTCTGCAGGATTTGATTTGTTCTTGCAAAAGAAAAAAATTTGCAGTACAGAATGTGTTTGTGTTGAACAAAACCTTTGTTGTACAGATCTATGTGCTTGTCATGGAAACGATCTCTGTTCTAATATATTGACAAGTCAACAGAGCCCTGACGATGACGACGAAAAGGAAGCTCTCCAGGCTTGATTTCAATTTTAAAATATAAATTTGAATTTATGTTTCAGTCTAAATAAATTACACGATGAAATGTCGCATTGTGTGATTATTTCTTTTAACATTGCGTTCCATTAGATAAAAAATGTACATCAAAACTCCTTATTCAAATAATCAAAACCCCTTTGGTGTACCCCAAAAGTTATCTAACAAAATAAAAAAAAAATCTAAAAAATTAAAATAACCTGCCAGACGGTCTCCGACCTTGCCTTGGTTGGTAGGCTTTACACAAACAGGAGGCCCTCTTTATTGATGACGCGACAAAGACGTCTACTTTTGACACCCTTTTATTTCGATATTTATCTCCCTATTTTACATGTATCTTTAAAACTAAATCATAATTTCCTTTATAGATGTATGCTAGAACGTAAATTGCAATGTAGAATAGTATGTTTAAGGTCAAATTCATTCGTATTCATTCATATCTTGCCAAAAGTATTGTTCTACTCATATCAGAGTAGAAACGTCAAAATGACGTCAATTACCGCTCTTGCATGTAATGTATGTAATTTTCATTTGGAGAAACAATATTATTATATTGTATAAAGTAAAAAAACGATTTCATAACCCTGCAGCTTCAAATTAGTTCATAATGCTAAAAAGGTGTGAAGTTTGAAAATTTTCTCGTCCGACCTTTGACCCGGATTTGAAAAAAAATGCCCCATATTTCACTTTTACGACCGGGCAAAATGAAATCTACACCTTTTTCCGTTTCCAAAGATATATAATTTAGCCGTGTGTTAGTTAGGTGCATTAAAAATATTGTTTAGGTCTGAATGTCACTCGCCTATAAGTTATACTGCACAGCTTCGGTGAACCTTCTTGACCTGACTGACGTCCAATCAGAATGTACGTTAAAGAACCCTAGCAACAACTCGTTAATGGGCTTATTGGTGCCCAGACAGTCACAATTTCTCGACCCTGTCGTCCCATTTTGATTAACATCTCTTTGTATTCATTGTAACTAGTTTCTCGTTCTGAATATGCATGAAACAATTGCCACTGGACGTTAAGCAAGCATACATCAATAATCAAACATTCTTTGCAGTTGGTAAGATGATAATTATCAATCAGTCAAGTCAGTATATGTCAGTTATACAAGGCATGTTCGATTACCCTACTCAAACCGTACGACGTATGTATAGCGATTTGATTGGTCAATAATTGTGTTTAATTAACAAATGACATCATCAACTTACAAGAAACTTTTTGGAAAGATTTTGTCAAGCAAGTATGATTCTTTATGCGGATGAAACTGCCGATAATAAGCTCTAATTAAATATATCTCGCGTTCATATATATATAAACGGAACAAAATGCATCTAAAGATTTTTTATTGTCTTCTTAATGGTCAAATCTTGAGTTCTGTTTAAACCACTTTTATTAATCACGAGTCATAATAAACGGGTTATTGAATAGAGTTCATTCTGTCAAGGAAGTATGCAGAGAAAGCCAGGAAAATCAACCTGATAGAGCTGTGTCAAAACATTTTTGACAAAAAATACGAGCACTCACTATATATATCTATTATTTATCAAAATATATATTTATATTTAGGCGTGTACAGTATATGAAATGGACGAGATGGTGGTGTACTCAATGTCTTCGTTGCCTACCCCTATCACAAAAGGACAAAAAGATCCACAAAAATACACAATCTAATACTCAATTTTATTTCACCCACCATTTTTAAAAATAAACAGGTGAATTCCGAAATGGTTCACCGGAATAATTTCCAATATTATATGTTAAAATGCATAGTAAAGTTACTGCACCATAATACATGTACATATATGAGAAAAAAGCAGACATCATAAATAATATAATCCTTTGTTATTTACCTTTGCTTATTTTTACGTTTACGATCCATTTCTAATATATAAGGTTAATATCTAGTTTGTTTATTAGTTACCATCCGCGATCGATCTGTTTAGTCTTTCATTACCTATAGTATACACTCTCATATGGATTATACTTTAAAGGGAAATGTAAACAAATTACTTAAATGGATTTTATTATGGCAATGTCTCTTTGTCGGACAAATTAGCCAACAATACCAATTAAAATTCAAATTAAATCTCCTCCCTTGCTCTTTTTTTATGCTTGATGGCCAACCAGCGACCAAACATAGATAAGATAAGATAAAGACGTTTATTATAATCACATTTATGCAATGCACATTTAAATTACAACATTATCATGTGTAAGCAACATGAAATTTATATAATAATGTAATAATATATAGTTATATAAAACAGCAGAGAACATAATAAACATTATGAACAATTTGTTAATGAAAAAAGACAATATATATATAACTACTTTGATATGAAAGTTCTCAGTTTCCAACTTTCACGCAAAAAAACACATCAAATTGTAAATAACTGTTTTTGTTTGAACTTGTAGTAATAGATACAGTTTGTTAATATTTGGCCATGTATGATAATATCTTGAAAAATATTTTTAAAGTCTATACTGTCTATATGCTGGACAAATGATAATACATGTAAAATGATATTCATTCTCTATACATTGCATAGTACAACACTTACAGATTCTATCCTGCCTTCGTTGGTTTATGTAACGACCTGTTTCCATATTTAGTTTTAATACACCAAATCTTAATAAAGACAACATTTTAACATTGATATCTTTCAATATATATTGTTCCATCTTAAAATCTGTTTTTATTATTTTGTACAATATTAGTTTTTCAGAGCTCCCTACAGACGCACGCCAGCTCTGATAAAATTGATTTAACAGACGTTCATTCAAAATATCAAAGTTTACATCAACATTCTCTCGTTCATGTCATAAATAATTAAATCCCAGTCGAAAAGTAAATTACGAAATCAATATGTGTGGCAAATTTTTTTTTACCATTATAACAGTCAGCAACTAGAACTCGATATATTTCATATACAATATATGGTTTCTTATTTATAATATTAACCCAGTATTTCAAAAACTTTTGTTTCCTAATAACATACATAGGTAAATGACCAAGATCGCCAATAATACAACAGACAGGCGTATTCAATGGCGGATCCAGAACTTTTTGTAAAGGGGGGGGGGGGGGGGGGCGCTGACTGACCTAAGGGGGGGGGGGGGTCCCGCTCCAGTCACGCTTCAGTGATTCCCTATATAATCAATCAATTTTTCCCACAAAAGGGGGGACCCGCCCCCCCCCCCCCCCCTGGATCCGCCTATGGTATTTGTTTGGTACTTTTAAAACAAATCTACAAAATTTATTATTTACAGATTCAATTTCTTTTGCATGATGAAAACCTCATACTTCAGAGGCGTAGTTTAAACTAGACATAACTAGACTGTCAAACATAGCACATTGTTGTTCTGTTGATATATAAGTAGATCTTAATGTGTTTAACAATGCGGCAAGCGCTCTACTACCCTGCTCTGCTAGGCGTTTTTGAGTTTGTTGAAATTTACCGTTGTAATGTAGAAGCACTCCAAGATATACATAATGATTGGCTACTCTTAATTCCGTATTGTCATAATAACAAGAATAATTTACTCTTTGTCATCCTTTACGAAAAACTACAACTTCTGTTTTATCCTTATTAACACCAATTTTCCATTTTGTACAGTAGAAGAATAATTCATCTAAAAGAAACTGAAGAGCTTCCGGCGTTTTTCCAAATAACACAGTATGATCTACGAATAACAACAAATATATCAAATATCCATTTAAGTTTATTTAATCACTAGTTCTTATATCATTCATACGTAGATCATGAGCATATCATTTATAAAAAATATGAAAAGCAAAAAAAAGCTTATACCAAAGTATGCGTCGGTCGACATTGTCAAAAGCCTTACAAAAGTCCACGAATGCTGAATACAGTTTTTCCTTTTGTGACAGGGTTGTTGATATTATTCCATGAAGAATGAAAACAGCATCGACAGTTGATTTTTATCGGCGAAATCCAAACTGGTTTGCTAAAAGAATCTCGTTATCTTCGGCCCAACTTAGTAGACGGTTATTCAAACTTGTAGTAAAAATCTTTGAAAATACACTAATCAATATAATTTTTTTTTCTGTTTGGGTTTTTGTTTTTGTGGGTTTTTTTTAAATGTTTCAATTTGATAAGTCTTCAAATTAGTACCATCATGACTTTTTTATTTATGAATTAAAATTTTCCCTTTGATTTCTTATTAAGTAAATGATAAAAATATCAGAGCGAGCAAACCTGAAGTACATGGACTACGGAGCGTATTTCAATTCCAAATTTCATTTGTTACCCAAAAAAAGGTTTTTTTATGTCTAAGGGCAAATGAATGATGTACAAGTATTCTTTTCTTCATGAAAAAAAGACAATGGAAGTCAGACTTGTTCACCATTTCAGTGTTTTGAATGAATGTTAAAGTATACAAGTTTGAGCTTTCTAAAAAGCTGTGGACTGCTTCGCTCTATCCTAATTTAAGGTAATATGTGTGCATGTGATTGTTGATTTAGTATTGGAAATATGGTATTTTTAGATATTGATTGATATGAAATGGATGTCTTAGACTTGGAATATCAATTTTTGTATAAAAACAATTATCACGTGATATTCGTAAGCTTGCAATGCGAAGCAATATAACATATAATTGTAAACAGCAATAAATATTTAGTTTCAGTGAAAATGGTGTTGTTCTACTTTAATTAAGAGTGTGCGTGAAAATTTAAACATTTACAAATAGACACGACTCTGGAGGTGTGCCTAGATTGGCAGAAGTTATAAAATACAGATAATGCATTTTTGTAAACATTGTATAGGAACATTGTTTAGCAAAACAAATCGTGCATTTTGCAGATTAACAAAGCAAATAAACACGTATTAATAATTGATATTTCAATATTGAATTTCAGTGTGCAATATATGCATAATAAAACGAACATGAATTAATGACAGTTGATCGGAACTGAAATACACATAGTTAATTTTCTGGCATTTGATGTCTTATCCTGAGACGAGAAAAGTCTGTAATTCTTTATCTCATTTAAGCCAATAGCTGTTGCTGTATCTCAGCCCCATCATAAAGCAACCAATCAGAATCTATATGTGATAAGTAATTATTTCAAGATGGCGTGTATATCGACTGAAACTAATAGCTCCGCACCGTGATGCAAAGCAAATATGACCATATATCACAAAATTTTATTAATGAATTAAATTTTTTAATGTTTTGAATAACGTGAGAAAAATTAATGCGACTATTTCTGGTTTCCAACATTTCATAAACAAAAATAAATGGATCGTATGACAGGCTATACATATGCACGTTTATATACATTATTAAAATGTTAATTCATTTTTCCTAAACCTCAAATCTAAATTTAATAACATTTTTCAAAATCATCACCTTATACATTGTAATTCCATTGTGCACCTCTGATATTATTTTAATTAGATTTATGTTTGTTCTCCCTAAGCAAATTTCGTAAAACAAATTTCCTTTTGTTCCAATCAGATGGAAAATATTCATTCAATTTTGTTTTCCGTCTTTATTTTTATATTAGTGATACTTGTGACAACCGCTATAAAGAAACTCAACGTTTGTACTCGGATGACCTAATTTGCGATAACGATGCCACAAAGACTCATTGGAATCATATTACAAGTAAAGAATCTTATCTTACTCTGAAACTACCAAGTCAGTTTGGACGACACTTCACGGAAATAAGAGTTTAGTACCAGCAAATCCGCCATATTCCGTTAACCTGTACCAAGTCAGGAGCTGTATCTCATCATGCAGTGGTTGTCGTTTGCTGTTGTAAATCATATTTGAGCTTCGTTAATTATTTTGTACATTAATCAGGTCGTTAGTTTTCTCGTTTTATATTGTTTTAGTAAAGTGAAGCGTTTGTCGTTTTGTCATTTAGGGTTCTTTTATAATAGCTTAATATGCGGTATGGGTTTTGCTCATTGTTGAAAGCCATACGGTGACCTCTAGCTGTTAACTTCTAAGTCATTTTGTCTGTCTTGGAGAGTTTTCTCATTGACAATCATACCATATATAGTCTTATTTTATTTTGTAAGGTAGATGGATTAATAATTCTGAGTTCATTAATTTCGTTTCAGTTGAATGAAACAAATGGCTGTCATCGGCAATTTAGTATTCTGATTGGTCATTTAGCGGGTTATTTAAAAGTGTGCACCACATTTTTTTAAATGTTATTTCGAATAGACAGAAAAAAATATTACAGTCATTCCTTATAATTTAATTCCAAATTTTATTTTTAGCTCACCTGGCCCAATGGTCCAAGTGGGCTTTTCTCATCACTTGGCGTCCGGCGTCCGGCGTCCGGCGTCCGTCATTGTCGTCCGTCGTCCGTCGTTGTCGTCCGTCGTTGTCGTCTGTCGTCGTCCGTTAACTTTTACAAAAATCTTCTCCTCTGAAATTACTGGGTCAAATTTAACCAATACAAAATACAAAATCATCAAAACAAAGAATTTTGTCGTGAATTCTATTCTTGTCTATAATGTTGTAGAGTGTCCTTTGTTTAATATGCACATAGACCAAGGTGGGCGACACAGGCTCTTTAGAGCATCTAGTTAAAGAGAAAATCACGATAAAGGTAATGACGTCACGGTCACATGACAAAAAATGAGCTGATAGACAAAAACACTTTCAGCCAATTAGAAGACGAGTTACATTCAAATTGAATTATATGACATGGTTCAGATGGTGTGAATATCGCTTCGCACCATGGTGCGAAATAATAATATCTGAAGACCCTTTACAAACACATAATTTTATAGGTGTACTATGATTCTGTAGCATGTATATAGTTTAGCGTGACGTCCATGTTCGCTCAACTAGTATACAATTTTGTGTAGGGGCCAGCTGAATCCCGCCTCCGGGTGCGGGATTTCTCGCTGTGTTGAAGACCATTTGGTGGGCTTGGGCTGTTTTCTGCTCTTTGATC